GAGGAATTCGTCTCATACGCCGGAAAATACGGTAACCAAATCACTTTATACTTGATCAAAGAGGCCAGATGTAGAGTAGATATACCACTTTAGGGATTTGCCGGTGAGTTTTCTTGACTCGTTAGCTTCAATTTGGTTGTGACGATGATACCTCGCTCTGATGATGTTCGTCATGTGACGAAACCCAACTTTTCTTCGTATATCTTTTCTCACTCTGACGATGCCCGTCACGCCTGGACAGTCGAAAGATGAGCATGCATTTTTCGAGGTCGCACGAGGTCGGTGTACGAATTGCGCTGCAACCAACGTTTGCGGCCAAAGTACAATTCGATTTGGCTAATCTCGAATGCCTTCGAACCCTTTGGCCGGACCGGGACTCGGAGCTGGACCGGACAGGCCAGATGGCCGCTTCTCGTCGCCCCGGACACAAACAAGCGTGTCCGCCTCTCTTCCACTCACACACTCTTCATACACGCCCAGCCCCACGACAAGTCGAAGATGCTGATCCCACTCCTGCGAAGGCCAAGGGTGGGAGGAAGATGGGACCCGGCGAGGTTTGCTTATCACCTCGAAACGACCTGTTTGAGCCCGCCTCTGCACCACACTTACAATCACAATCGCATACACACACACATATATATATATACATACACACACACACAATGAGGTACAGTAGTGTATGCAAACAGGGCAAACAGTGAGCAGTGCATGGCTTGGTCATCATTTATCACTGTCACTGCTGCGGTTGCCCATGCTCCCAGTCGTCTTCCCGTCCCACCGGCATCACGACTTCAGCCTCATTGGCATCATCAGCACCAGTAGCATCGGGCGCAGCAGTAGCCAAGACTCTTCGCGCCAATTAGCGGCGTCTATTCGTCCAGAGGGGTGTGAATTGAATGGAGTGGGGTGGGGAGAGCTGATGACATGTGAATGGCATCCACCGGCCGTCTGCTCATGGATGGGCTCATGCAAGAGGGTATCGGCCAAACTGCAGCCGGGCTGGTTGCCCCAGGAACGTAATTGAGACAATTGTACCCTCGACGAGAGAGTAGGCCTGAGGCCGGCCCATCAGGAGGACGAGATGGAGGCCTGAGAAGCTGGGCTCATAGCCGCCTTGAGAGGGGATGGGTGTGGCGACGGTCACTTTTCCCCGAGGACATGTGTTCGCGAGGTGGGGAGCAGCGGCAACGTCCAAGTGGGGGAATGTGTCAGCTTGCCGACCCCCACTGGGAGACTGCATCGCCTCTTCGTTGGCAGGCCAGCCCATAAGCAAATGAGTCGTGGGGTGTGTTCTAATGGTGTCCCA